CACACACACACACACACACACACACACACACACACACACACACACACACACACACACACACACACACACACACACACACACACACACACACACGGGCTGGGAATGTGGCTTAGTGGTAGAGTGCTTGCCAAACCCTGGGTTCAATTCCTCAGTACCACATACACAGAAAAAGCCAGAAGCAGCACTGTGGCTTAAGTGGCAGAATGCTAGCTTTGAGCAAGAGAAGCTCAGGGATAGTACCTAGGCCCTGAGTTCAAGCCTCAGGACTGGCAAAAAAATAAAAAAAAACAAACACAGAAAAAAGAAATCATTGGGATTTACTCTGCAGAAGAGAATGTTCAGAGTGTATCATCATAATAACAGTCTTCTAATATTTAAAGGAACCACTCATGTGGAAAAGGCATACATATAAATATATAAATACACATATATATATATATATATATATATATATATAAAGAGACAGTGGAAACAGCATTGTTTGCTCTACAGAGCTGGATTCTAATCTTAGTTCCATCATTTACTTTGTTATTTAAAGCTGAGACAGAGATTAAGTTTATTTAAGTGAAAAATTACATATACCTTATAATATCTATGTATATCTATATATATATCAGGAGGCTGAGATTTGAGGATCATGGTTCAAAGCCTACCTAGGCAGAAAAGTCCCATGAGACTCTGATCTCCAATTAACCACTCAAAAACTGGAGGCGGGGCTGTGCTCAAGTGGTAGAGCACTAGCCCTGAGCACAGAGAGGCCCAGGGACAGCACCCAGGCCCTGAGTTCAAACCCCACAACTGACAAAAAATAAAAAAATTTGTTGTTTTTTTGGGGGGAGGTCCAGTCGTGGGGTCTCAGCTTTGGGCCTGGGCGCTGTCTCTCAGCTCTTCAGCTCAAGGCTAGCACTCTACCACTTGAGCCACAGCGCCACTTCTGCTTTTTTCTTTTTGCTTATGTGGTGTTGATGAATTGAATCCAGGGCCTCAGGCATGCAAGGCAAGCGCTCTACCACTGAGCCACCTTCCCAGCCCCAAAAATAAAAAATTAAATGTAACTAAATGCAAAATATTTGTAAACTGCCTGGCACATCTTTACATATTGTGATACACAATGTTAGATCCTTTCCCTAGACTTTTCTGAGTTACTTTAGAACCTTCTTTTTTAAAGTGAGAGTTATAATCCCATTCATGGTGGGACACAAAGACAACTTACCAAGTGGTAGCATTTTTTCCCTAATGAAATAGAACAGGAAAAATATATTAGTGTATCACTTATCGTACAATTAACTATAGTTTTACGACACTTTGGTTTCAGTTACTCATACACATGTGTGTACTAGTTATGAAATAAAATTTATATAATGAAGTTGGGTCCCTCACCAAAGTTTGTCAAAGTTGCCTAAGTATTTTATAAAGTATTAATTAGAGCCGGGTGCTGGTGGCTCACGCCTGTAATCCTAGCTACTCAGGAGGCTGAGATCTGAGGATCGCGGTTCAAAGCCAGCCCGGGCAGAAGAGACCGTGAGACTCCTATCTCCAATATTAGTTCCTTAACAACAGAACTTAAGTTTAGGAAACAAACCATAAATTTTAGTGTGTTTAATCCATAGTAGCATCTCATAGAAGTTCAGTATCTGTTACTTTTTGTTGAATCTAGTTTTCAATAAATTAGTTTTGCCCCAGAACCTAGTTATTTTTCCACATAATACCTACTAGTATTATCAACATTTTGTGAGATATAAACCTGAAGCAAAATATTCCTCTAGATTAAAAAGAAGCACAGTGGTTAGAAGGCATAGAAGGTAAATTTTGGCTAAGAAAAAAATTGCCAGTTATGAATCTTTCTGCCACTGACATTCATAGCCTTCAATTTATACCATAAATACATAATTTATCCAACTATGATTTATCTGAAATTTTCCCTTGTGCAGGATCTCAACATTCCCAGCCCTTCAAGTTTTAATGTGCACAAATTTTTAAGAAAAAAGCTTAAGTCATCTATAATATTGAGATATGAAGCCAGGACAGTATGCGTGTTCAAGGCTAGTGCTTGAGCCACAGCATGACTTCTGGCTTCAGAGCAGTTTATAGATAAAAAGTCTCAGACACTTTCCTTCAGGCTGGCTTCAAACCATGATCCTCAGATCTCAGCCTCCTGAGTAGCTAGGATGATGGGCATGAGCCACTGGCACCCAACTTCCATGGCACATTCTTTTTTTTTGGGTCCGGTTGTGGGGCCTGAACTCTGGGCCTGGGCACTGTCCCTCAGCTCTTCAGCTCAAGGCTAGCACTCTACCACTTGAGACACAGCGCCACTTCCAGCTTTTTTCTTTTTGCTTATGTGGTGCTGAGGAATCGAACCCAGGGCCTCAGGCATGCAAGGCAAGCGCTCTACCACTGAGCCACCTTCCCAGCCCCCATGGCACATTCTTATAATCCTAACTACTGAGGAACTGAGAAAGCAAGGATCTTGGTTTAAGGATAGTCAGAGCAAAAGTTAACAAGACTCCATCTCAAAAAATAGTGGAGTACATTCCTGTCATCCTAGCTACACAGGAAATGTAAATAGCTAGTCCAGGAAAAAAATCAAGATCGTATTCCAAAAATTCCTAAAATCAAATGGACTAGCTAGGGGTGTAGCTCCACTGACAGAGAGCCTGAATATCAAGTGAGAAGACATGAGTTAAAACCCAAGTATCACAAAAATAAAATTAAAAAAAAAAAAAAAACATGAAGCCAGGTCAAAGCAGTAAGGAGCAATCTTATCTTGTTGAAAGAAACTTCTGACACAGTAACTAAAATGACTTGTTTTTCTTTAACAAATCCTATGCTTAGAAACCAAAGTAGCCAAAGACTTAATCAGCTTCTCCAAGTGGAGCCAATGTGTTCTAATAATACATAATCTAAAATGGGCTGATGAGTGCAGCTAATCCTTATTATTATGAGCATCAATATCATCATCACTTGGAAGAGACATGTGATGATATTTGGATGATTCTAGGTTCTTTTAAAGTGCATACATACCAAGGATTCCTTTGGTAGGATGTGATTTCCCTTAATGTGAAAAACTGTCATTACCACATTCAGTTCTAATAATACTTGGTTATCACTTGGTAATAACATAAAGGTTTGACATAATATATTCTTAAGTACCACCTCTGCCATTCATCTTCCCAGCTAGGAGTTAGAAATACCTCCTTGTAATACAGCCAGGCCCTAGTGGCTCACACCTGTAATCCTAGCTACTCAGGAGGCTGAGATCTGAGGATCACCATTCAAAGCCAGCCTTGGCAGGAAAGTCTGCCGGACTCTTATCTCCAATTAATCACCAAAAAACTGGTTACAGAGCTGGAAGAGTGCTAACCTTGAGCACACACACACGCACACAAAACAAAACAAAAACTCAAGGACAGTACTTTGGCTCTGAGTTCAAGCCCCAGGAACAGAGAAAGAAGAAAAACAAAAACCCCACATATAGTTGTCACAGCATAAAATGATGGTCTCACTCCCCATCCCAACTCCAATTCCTCCTTAAAGTTTGTTCCAAATAGTTTAGACTTTTATTTCTTTCCAGCTTCGGGGAATTAAGTCCTTTTTGTCCCATCAGTCTTCCAACAACTCACTGCATACATCCTATCTTGTTCAACTGCTTAGCTCTCAGCATGACTATAACGGCTTTTGAACAAGCACCAATCTTTAGAATCTCCCACAGCTCACATAAGCACGCTAAATATTCTTGATTTAAGAAAGTAGGTTTAAAAGTAACAGTCGTTAGTCAGAGAATTTACTCTATGCCAGTCCCAGAGCTAAAAGTACACAATGGATTATTTTATTTAATCTTTACAACTCTATAGAACTACAATTTGCTCTATCAAATGGGGGGGGGGGGGGAAGTGAAGCTCAAAGTAGCTTTCCCAAGGTCATATGACCAGTGAGTGGCAAAGCCAGGGCACGATCCAGGCAAAGCTCAAAAACACTTCAAAACTCTAGGCCTGCAATATTGGTCTACAAAGGACTTTGAATTCACTACGTCGTAAGTTTCTTTTTTAACGATGAGAAGGGCTATTTCAGCGAAAAGTTAAAAGGATGAATCAAGAGAGAAAGATAATTTCCCACACACATCTTTAACTAAGTGGCAATAAAATGAAGAGGGTAAAAGTTTCCTCCCATGTGTTTTCTATTAGTAAAAGTGATATCAAGGCATGGGTCACAAGTTCATCAGGCAAGCAATTTGTTTTAGACTTTTGGTAGGGCTCTTTCTCTGCCCCTAGATGATATGGAAATGAAAGGTTTGATAACTCTTACTTCCCAGCTCTGAAAATTGTCAGGCCCAATTCTTGCTTAAAAAGAAAAAAGAAAGAAAGAGCTGAGGCTCTGGATCCACCTCGTCACACAAAGCAACACCATCCTCTGCCCTCTGCACACAAAGCGTCACCCCATCCCCCAAGGGGGAGCGCTGATTCACACGGCCTCCCCTTACCCACCAGAAATACACCCATCTCTGGTCCCAAACACTTACCCCAGACGACGACGACGACCACGACTCCGGTCTGCCCTACCCACCTCCAGCCCAGCGTGCCGGGCGACGAGATCTCATCAAGCAGACCCTTCTCCCCACTATCCCAAACACCCCAAAGCCGGTATTTCACACAAAGGCAGGGCCCTTCCGACAAGGCCAGCTTTCCATCTCCGACTCCCCCAGGCGATCAGACTGTCTGAAGCTGTGTCAACCACAGACACCCCGAGCACCCCGAGGGTCCTCGAACCCCCTAAAGAACTAGCTCCCTGCCCCTTTCCTTGCACGCGCTTGACATCCCCAACTCCAGCTGTATTCCCGCGGCCAGAGCAAGAAACGCACAGAGTCCCAGCTCCCCGAGAGACCATCCGGCCACACAAAGCGCGGCGACCGAGCGGGGCGACCCCGGCCCGCCGCTCCTCCGCCCCGGCCCGTCCCCGCCCAGCCCTGCCCGGCGCCCCGCGCTCTCCCCGCGCCCGCTCACCAGCTCTCCTCCTCCTCCTCCCAGCCTGACAGGCGCTCCAGTTCCTCGGGCCTCAGCGGCTCCACCTCGTCCAGCAAGCCGCCCTCGCCCGCCGCCAGCAAGCAGGTGACGTCCCGCGGCTCCTCGCTGCTCGTCCGCCTGGGGCCCGACCCGGCCCCGCCGCCCCCGGACTTGACGCCGAGGCCCAAAGGGTAACCTCGAGGGGATGCCGCGCCGGAGCCGGGAGCCGACACCCCGGCCCGCAGCGGGCTGCCCGGGCCCAGCGGGCCTGCGCCCTGCACGGCGCCCGAGCGGCTCCGCAGCTGCTCGTTCTGCTTCTCCAGCTTCTTCACCAGTTCCTGCAGCTTCCGCACCTCCTGGTCGGCGTTCACGTTGGAGTTAACGTCCTCCATCCTGGCCCCGCCGCCCGCCGCCCGCGGGGACTCACAGCGACCGGGAGAGAAGCGGAGGAGCGAGGCGTCGCCGCCGCCGCCGCCGCCGCCGCCACCACCGCCGCTGCCGCCGCCGCCGCCGCCGCCGCCGCCGCCGCTCACTCTAGCCGAGGCGCCGGCATAGAGCTGGGCCAGGCCCCACCGCCAGGGTCTCCCCGGCTCGGGTTCCGAAGCGCCGCTGGCTCCAGCCGAGCCGCCTCATCTGCGCCGGCTCCGGGATTGGGGGAGGCGGCGCCAATATCCGGCCTCCGCCGCCATCTTCCCTCCGTCCCTCCGCCCCCTGCAGTTCGGCCCCGTCGGTGACCTCAGAGCGTCGGGAGTGGACGTGGCCTCCCGCCGACGCTGAGAGGACCAGGCTCCGAGCTCGCGGTGGGGCCGGGCGGGTGGAGGGGCGGGACCTGCGCGGTGTGGGCGTGGCTCGTCGGCTGACAGGGGCGGAGCCTTGATGTGTGGGCGTGGCTTTGCACAGGAAGGGGTGTGATCGCAGCACTGGCGGAGGTGGGACCCGCCAGGCCGGCTGCGGGGTGCGGCTCCAGTCGCCGGCCTCACCCCGAGCTGAGATCGGCTTGTTTCGGGCGGGGCTAGACTGCGAACGTGGCTGTGGGTCAGCCTTGCCTCTTGGACTTGGGTGAGGGCCGTGGAGCGGATTCCTCACTCCCAGACGCGGCTAGGGGGACCCCCGAGCCGGGCCGCTGGGGAGGGTTTACTTACTTGTTTAGCGAACATTCAGTTGGTTCCTGCTTGAAATCGGAGGTTGTCAGAGCGTGGCTGGAGCCCCCAGACCAGCTGTGACCGCAACCTTCCTTGAAAATGACAAACCCGAATCTCCAGAGGCTGTGAGAGCTCCAAGGTCAAAACAATAACCGTAATCTGTGTATTGCTTACTCTGGGCTAGCACTATGCTGAGCACTTTCAAAGGCATTATTTCATCGGTTAAAAACATCACTTTTTCCGATTCGAAGTTCACAGCACACGGAAGCCAGACACAGAAAACCGCTTCTCTGCACCCCCCTTGGCCCTTCTCTCTCCCCCAGAAAGCTTTTTTCCTAATGTAGTGTGTCTTGACTTTCTAAAAAAAAATGTGTACTAAAATTAACAAACATGTTAACAGGTAATGAAGAATACTGAGATGAGTGAAAGTAGTACCCTTTTTTTTTTTTTTTTGCAGCACTTGTGCCTGCAAAACCAAAACCAGACTTAAATGCTCTGTTTCCATCACCATCGCTGCTGCTGCTGCGGGTGTCAACTGTGAACTAGTTGGCTTACTTTTTGCAGCTTTCCCGCTCTTGTCTTCGCCGCCCTTAGCTAACACCCTTGCAGGAATATCACACCTGGGTGTGGACGCATCTGGAAAGACTTTTAATGGTTGCCCTTGTGCCTGGTTCTATTTTACTTGTCTAAAATAAGCTTCCTACCAAAAGGTGATCTTTGCATAAAACCTGGGCTCACCCATCTAGGAAACCTGTTCCTGACAATCACAAAGAGCTGGTTGTTCTGCTTACTTTGACATCAGTAGCTAGCTACAGGTATTCCTACTTTTTTTTTAAATTGCTTTTTTTTTCAAGGAAGTCTTTTCATTTGTTTTCTTTCTTTCTTTCTTTCTTTTTTTGGTCATACATCTGATTTAAATGAACCATTTATATACAAAGGGATGGATTTCCATGTTGCATCTGGTTAAACTTTTTTGTTTTAATGGACTCTATTGCTGGGCGCTGGTAGCTCACACATGCAATGCTTTGAACTCATATAAGGAAGCCAGCTCCAGCAGGAAAGTTCATGGTGAAAAAGATGGACGTACAAGTGTGGTTCAAGTGGTAAAGTGCCAGCTTTGAGCAAACAAAAAAAGGGTCAGCACCCAGGCCCTGAGTTCAATTACCAGCACAAACACTTTTTTTTTTGTCTTGGCATGTCTTGTACAATATCTAACAGAGTGGACATTCAATATCTGATTTGTTGAAAATTTATTAGAAAAGCTGGCGCTAGTGGCTACTCAGAAGGCTAAGATCTGAGGACTGTGGTTCAAAGCCAGCCCAGGCAGGATAGTCCATGAGACTCTTATCTCCAATTAACCACCAGAAAGTGAATCTGTGGCTCAAACTCAGAGTGCTAGCCTTGAACAAAACTGTGAAAACTGAGTTCAAGCCCATGAAAACACACACACACACATGCACGCAGGCATGCACACATGCACACACATTAATTAGAATGTAAGTTCTGAAAAGTCAAGGACCAGAAAGATGTTTATTCATAGCCAGAAAAAGAAACATACTGAGTATGTTAAAAATTTACTAACTATAAGGATTTTCCTGACTTAATCAAAAGATGCCTTCATTGACTAACAGTAATTGTGAACTAATCCATGTATCATCTATATGATGTACAAATATCATTTGTTTCTAACATATCTAAACTTGTTCCAGAGAGGCATGTCATGATGAGAAGAATATCATGACAGCTTCACATGTGGCAGTTTTCACTTGAACTAATGGTTTGTGACACAGATTTTAACTGGCCAGTTTCTCAAGGAAAACCCCCAAAATATATATTCTGAAGGGGAAAAAAAAGTTCAATCAACATTATGAAGTTAACACTAATGTTAACATGAGGCAAGGAGTACAAAAAGTCTTGTACAGTAATGTGGAACAACTGAGGATCAGAAAGCCCGATGGCGGGTTCAAGATATAACTGTAGTGCTTGACCTTGACTTCTATTCCCTTAATTTCAGGTCCTTATATTTTCCCAGAATGTGGTTTTGTTTTGTTTGGTTTGGTTTTTTTTTTTTTTTTGGTTGACCTCCGATATCAGTACCAAATCCAATATCCAGTACCAAAAAGTGAAGAATTCTAATAACATCATGTATGTAAATATATGCTTAAACATAAAAGTCATGGTAGATATACTTGTATTTTTATCCAATTGCTTTACTCTAAATCTTCATTTTTTACTCAGTTAATTTTTTGTCTGATATATGGCAGACACTGCTCCAGACATTTGATGTCTAAGAGCCTTCTTAAGTTCGAAACTGGACTTGTAACTCATTCAGACACATACATACTATAAACACATACCAATATCTGCTTGTACTGAAGTATACCATTCCATTCTTTTCTGTGAAATGCTTAGGCAAAATATCTTGGTGATAATCCATATTTGTTACTTTCTTTTGTCTACCAAATCTGGTTTGGTCATGCTAGCTCTACATTTAAAGTATCTGAATAATTTCCAGCACCTATATATAAACTCTAGTTCAAGTTGCCATTTTCTCTTATATGGATGACTGTAGTATTCTTTTAATGAGTTCTTCTATTCTGCTACTTAACTCCTATTGGGTGTACAACAACCAGGAGACCCTTCAGGTAAGTCACTTCAAGTCACTACTCTGCTTAGAAGCCTAATAAATGCTTGTCAAATGAACTCCTAAAATAGCGCTTCAGATAAATGTGTTATGTCTTAAATCATTAAAGTGAAAATTCCTAAGCATTTTGGATAGTTGGTTTTTAGCATTATATTTTTCTCTTCCAAAAGAGCAACATGCCATCCTGCATATATCATTCTTAAAACTAGGTCATGCTCCACCTCCTGATTGCCAACAGCCCTGAAGAGTTGCTGAGGATAGTCTTACTGAGAAGTATGGAGACAAAAATATGTCTTTTTCTATCCAAAGCCTTCCTCTTTCAGGTTAATTACAACACTTCTCTGGTGTCTCAGAAATGTGAGCACATGTTTTAAAAGCCACTCTTGAAGTGATTCTGAAATAAAAACAAGGAGTAGAGTCAGTAGGTGTATGTATCACACTGATTACTAGCTTTGTAGGTGTTCTCTTGTATGATAAGCTTGCTTTGTTGCTGGATGAAGGACTTGTTTCTTTTCTAGGCAGGTGTGGCCCTTTCCATAACTTGTTCCCACTTGCACATGAGCTCTTAGTGAAACTCCTGACAGTATGGAAAAAATTACAAAGCACTAAAAGTATTTAAGTGAAAAACTATTACTCAATGGCTCAAAGGCATTTTAGCTGTCCTTAAATCCTATATGTCTATATGTATTGCGAATGAGCACATGAGTAGTCTAGAAACTACTACACACTTCCAGAAATTTATCCTCTTGCTTTTAAACCACTCCAGTTCTTTGTCACAGGCTTTCCTATCCAGCACACCCACTTTTTTTTTTTTTATCTCCATGGACATACATTTGTTAGCCATTTCCTCCTCCTCCTGATCTACTCCTCACCAGCATCCTTCCCCCAAGTAGGCCTCCCTTGTATCTATCAAAGGGCCTTCCTGTTCATTGTTTTAGGACAGTGTATTCTTAGAAAAGAATCCCAGAACAGTTAATGGTTAATTTATATAAGAAATTCTGACTTGAAACCTGAAGAACAAAAAAAGAAGGAAGTCCAAAATTCAGATCTATAATTTTTGCAGTTACCATGAATCAGATCTGCCTCAAAGCTGACCAGGAGGGCAGATATCACTTCCTTAAGGTGGTCCTCTGTTATACATACTACCCTACATAAGGGTAGAAAGCCTATGATCTGAGCACAAATGAACAGGTTCTTGATCCTTTAGGAGGCTGCCATCTTAGCTCAAAAAGAAACAATAACTTATACTCCCCCACTATTGCAATAGCAGATGAGAAGATAGGGTTATTAAATAACAATCTTATTTTAGTAAGATACTGAAGTTGGAAAAATGTAGTATGAGTCACTTCTGAGTGATGTTTTAAGAGAACTAATAAAGATGGAAGAAAACTTTTAAGGAATAATCCAAATCTCCAAGTCAAAAAGTCTTTTGCTCAAGCCCTTTTAGAAAGCCATTTACTTAAGCAGCACTCCAAGTACTTGAAAGACACAAGAAAGGTCAGAAGTTCCATCTGTTTTGAAAATACATTTTCTGACATGAAGTTTTTGACATCTAGGCTTCTTATTAGAAATACTAAAGAGCCCAGTGAGTATGGGTTTTATGGGATAGCAGTTAGTAGAAAAAAAATATGAGGGCAGTAGAACCATAACAACAAAGCAAGAACATTTAAGAGTCAGAATTTATTGCCAAGAATCCTTGACCTATAGACCAGACAATGAAAACTAGAAGAGGTCCTGAAATAAGAAAGACTACAAACAGACATCAAAGCCAAAGGATAGACTGGGCAGTGGTGGATAACCCCTGTAATCCTAGCTACTCAGGAGTCTAAGACCTGAGGATCATGGTTGGAAGTCAGCCAATGCAGGAAAGTCTGTGCAGGAAAGACTATCTCCAGTTAACCACCAGAAAGCCAGAAGGAAAGCTATAATCAAGTGGTAGAGGCCTAGCCTTGAGCAAAAAAAGC